CAGTTACATCCACTAGGCTATAGCAAGGTGGCACTCTTAGCCAGTCCAATTTGCCTCACCTAATCCCAGTCATTGCATGCCACATTTGTTTATCTGAAGACGAAAAAGCATCAGTAATAATATTTTACAGGAATTAAGCTTCTGCAGCTGTTGCTAGGTCCAAGAAGATTTAAGTACTATTTCTGTACATTTTCTTACCCTCACATCCCACTCTCTCTCTCTTTCTCCAGGTAATTGGAAATTGGCCCAATGAAGTTAAAAGAGATGAAGAGCAACTAAGAGAGTGAGATACAAGCCAAGAGTCTGAAAGGAGAGAGATGTAGCAGAGCCAGCTGGGTATGGAACTGGCATTATATTCTTAATACTTATGTGTACCACTGACATAAAATTTGTTCTGTGTGGGACAAACGCTACCTTTTCTTCTTTTACAGAGTAGTTTTGATATTTCATTTTCATCTGGTTTTCCAGAAGAGTTCTGACTCTCATCAACCCAACAGTATCGTGCACACAGTGTAAGTTGGCTTTTAGAGCAGACCTGAAAAATCACCAGGTTATTCAAGGCAAATCTTTGCCCCACTAGACTCATTTTCCTCTCTTTTTGCAAGGAGATACTCAAAGTGCCTATAAATTCCACTTGCATTCAGGAAGATATCTCTACTGCTCTAGAAGTGCAGTAATAACCAGGACTGACTGTTCTGGGATGAGAGCAGCATGGTCTGGGAGTACTTTGTTTTCCTTTCATGCTGCTGTTTATCTACCCCACAGTGGAAAGAAGCAAGCTGTTGCAGTAGATTTAAGCTTGCAATCCTACCTACCTTATGGATAAATCATTAGGGCCTTATTCCCAATCCAGTTTTGCTGTTGCAAATCATCTCTCTGCATGCATGGCAAGTCCAGCTCCTAAAGATGATCTCAGATGTGCTCCATGTGGATTAGAGATGCACTCAAGAAGCATGATAAATTAGGTTGTGACTGGCAAGCAAAGGCAAAATAAGCAGCTGTAGCCACACCTACACCACGCTGAGGAAAGTGATCCAGAGATAGCAAAGGTAAGGCTTAGGGGCTGATGTTACCTCAGACACAGATTGGCATTCAGTGCTTTGGGATGTTGATTTGTATCTCCCCATGATTCTGCACAATACTGTATCAGCCAACCATCTCAAGCCAAGTGCATCCTCAGGGTCCTTAAATTTTGGTCTATTTTGTAGCAGAAACGTGCATGTTTTTAAATGGGAGAACCAAAATGTGTCCTCATACAGATATTGCTTTCCCACTATTTTTACTGTGAGGGTGGGGGGGTCCTGGCACAGAGGTTGTCCAGAGAACTTGTGGCTGCCCCATCCCTGGAAGAGTCCAAGGCCAGGTTGGATGGGCCTTGGAGCAAACTGGGATAGTGGAAGGTGTCCCTGCCCATGGCAGGATGGTGGAATCAGATGGTTTTGAAAGTCTCCTCCAATTCAAACTATTCTATGATTCTATGATGCAAGTATAAAACATGTTTTAGTTATGTGGTGGTTAAGCCATTAAAATGTCTGAGTCCAAAACGAAAAGTTTTTCCTGAGCATTTGCATAACATGCACATACTCACATCTATCCCCCTTCATTGATGATACCTTGTCCTTATTTTTCTTGTAAACAAAAAATTGTGATTACACAGTTTTTTCTTTCTCTATACAAATATTTATAGAGATAATGATCTGAGAATGACACTGTAATGCTTAGCTGATAATCTGATGTACTGTTGATTAGTTCCAACTTCTTGAGAATATCTGGGCTAACAAATTCCTACTCTAGACAGGTAATTTTTTCACTGAATTCCTTAAACTTACATATACATGGTTCTACATGAAAACACAGAAATCAGGTTAATTATATGGTAAATCAATAAATAGTATTGCAATGTCTCTATACTTACCAAAACCCCTAAATTCTAGGAAACACAACTAGGGTGAAAGTGTCCAAACTCTGTTTTTTTTCCAAATATTCCTTCGCCTTATACTTTCCTCTTTCAGTAACACTCCAAAAATACAGGCATTTCATTTTCTTTTGCTTAAGTTAGCACATTTCTCATTGAAGGCCCTCAAGGGAAGTGGAAACTATGAAATACGAAATGCGATTTATGCTTGCCTTGTAAAATGCCAGGGAAACTGCTTTAAGACTGTAATAACCCTTGCTGCTCATTCCATGAATATGCCTATAGAAAATGTTAATTTAATCAACAAATTATAGCTTCACACAAAGCTAGAAGTGTGGAAATACTGGCAGAGGAGGAGGAAAGGTCTCTCATAATTTTTATGTTTAATCATGAATTTGAGACCCTCTATTATTCTTGCATAAATGAAGAACTTCTCCTAAATGGATTATGTTGCACTTCCCATTCATTTTCTGTCCTGATTTACATCTACATACATGTCCATTCAAATTTTATGAGAACTCACTTATGCTGACATGAATGCATCTTAGCAGAACTCTTGATACTTTATTTAATTTTTTGCTTGTCAAAGATGTTGTTTGAGAGGGAGCTCAAACAGAGAGCTGGTACTTTTAGAGAAAACCCTGCAGATTTCACACTGGTTTTTCCCAGCATTTCTAGCCCATGGATACTGATCACGGGATGCCTGACACAGTCTAAGTGTTCCCTGCCAAATGTTGAAGCAATGAAGTTAGAAATAGGAATATTGGAATGAAAAGGACTAGAAATAGATTTCTACAAGTCAGCTTAAACATCCATTTGCAGTAGGGCAATATTACATTTTTCAAAGGCGTGTATTAAGTGATTAGATCACCTGCAAATGGAGTGTTAATTAATAATATCCATAATACAGTGCAATACAATTACATTAGCAGGAAAAGCTGACAGATCTATTGTAGCTCTGTCATTCAGGCATTAATCCCAAAGATAATGGACCAAACTCTGCTCTGTGTGGGTGATTTTTCAGCTTATATATGGAGTAATTCCAGGGGCACAGGCTGGCTGTAACTTCATGAGGCTGAATAGTGAATTTGCACCATTATCCTGAAATGAAATGCTTTCTGAAAATACCTGTCAGTGAGGCACACTTGGCACACCATCTGTTTGGCTGATAACAACTCAAAAGACAAAATACTTGATCTCATGGAGGCGAAGACAGCAGCTTACAGTTTCATATTCCTCTGATGCTAAACTCAAGTAATCCTTATTCACATTGTCTAATTCACGTCACCTACAGAAAATCTGCAGGTAAAAGTTTTGCACCAGCAGTGGGTGTAATCCCAAGGACCAAAAGCAAAAAGCCTAAATCTTATGGATTGCATTGATATTCTGATGGCAAACAAACCCTTTTCCCTATTCAGGGATGTTCTGTACAGTCAACAGAAAATGATCTGCTTCTTGTGGAAAAGAATTTCAGTGTATACCTCAAAGCTGAAGCCAGGTCACATCTGACTCTTGTGATACACAAGGTGTCACCTTTATTAACAAAATGGTAATAGAACTAGGCAAACTTTTAATGAAAAACATGACTTACTGCAGCTGGAGATTTTTATTAGGACTGTAAAGGACTTGTGCTCTTTTTAACTGGTAAACCAATAGGTCTGATGTAATAAGAGGATCCTGTTGCAAAGCCCACGTCTGCCTTATCAGAGAACACAGAACCAGATGTTCTGACTTCTACTACCTTTGGCATTTTGGCTAAAGGGCTGAGAGGAAAGGGGAGATGGAATAAATCAATAAATGCAGTTATTTTCCCCAAATAAATGGGTTTAGACTCAGAATACGTACATACCCTGCCTCCCTCTGGAAAAGGAATCTGCAACAGTTGTTGTGAGAGTGGGAAAAGGCAGAGGAACAACAGGGCCAAGCATGAGGAGGCAAGTGATAAAGGGACTAAGGGAGCCATGTCTAGTGGTCATAAATGTACGGCTTTGCAGAGTCAACAGCAAATATTGATTTAGTGTCCTTCTGATGGCAGAAACACTCCAGCACAAGACAGCACTGCACAGCAGAACTTCTTGGTCATCAATTATTTATTCCAATACTATTCAAGGTGTACAGCCAACAGCACTAGTAATTAGTAGTTTTCTGAATTTTAGATTTTCATTACAACTTAGGCTAGGCAGTTCTATGAAGACTCAAATCTCCCAACTCTGGCTGTTACCCTCCTGCTCTCTGCTGGGATGCACTCACAGCAAGTTTTCTATGTAGTTCTTCCCCAGCAAAGGCACAAAATAGCTCATGATGTATATATAAAATTATTTAATAGGTAAAGCAATTATGTGTTTGTATCCTAAAAAAAGCCACCAAAAAATGCATTCCTCACTTTACCTAATTAATATATGCTGTAATCTGTTTTTCTTATAGAATCATTGAATCATTTAGGTTTGAAAAGACCTTTAAGATTGTAGAGTTCGGCCATTCACCCAGCACTGCCAAACCTACCACTAAACCCTGTCCTTAACCACCATATCTACAGGTGTTTTAAACCCTTCCAGGGATGGTGATTCCACCACTTCCTTAACCAATCTGTTCCAATGCTTGACCAGCCCTTCCATGAAGAAATTTTTCCTAATATCCAACATCATGATAAAGCAGTTTCAACACTTGTATTATATGCCTTGAGCACACTCACAATACTTCCGTGTAGTACAATGATTTAGGGCATATGTACTTCAGATGTTCATATCCATGAAGGTCTGAGAGCACAGAAATGGGATAGTTTGCTTTGTTTTTCAGGGGGTTTTGCAGCTTCAAGGTCTGCTTGGTGAACTATTAGAATTATTCCTGTAATTTCCATGTCAATACGGTTAGTTTGGGAATTCTTTTTCTTCAGTGTATGTTACCCCTGCTTCCTCTCTCATTTGAGCTCTGTGGAGTAAGTAGGCAATGAAAGATGTAGGAGAAATGTGAATTTGTTTATTGTATGCTGCGTTTTTTCATTTAAGCAGGTGGGCTGGAAGTGCCCCTAAAGCAGTTCAAGATAAACCTGACAAAGTGAGTACCACATTATGCTTATGTCTGTATTGAACAGGCACTTTTTAATTTTTTTTTGATGCCTCAAGAGCTTTATACATGTCCCTCCCTCATCTTTCCTCCAAAAAGCTTTTTTTCCACCTGAAAAAAAAAAAAATAAATCAAGTAAGATTAAAAGATATGCACTTTTCCTATAGAACAGTAAACTAACTGAATAACTAGATGTATGCTTTGACAGTAATAACTGGCATGTAACAAGGTGTTTGCCCAAGGTATTTGCATGAATCCTGAGTGACCAGCCAGCAGCTGTCTCTGGTCTGGCTTCAGCTTCCTAGAATCTACAGCTGGTTTGAGTTTGTTTAAATTACAGAACACATATTTTCCCTCACTTGAAAGGAGCTGCAATCTTTTGTTATTTGACAAACACATCCCACAGATCTGAATGTGAGTCTGGTTTTGAAGTGCTTTTTGATCCCCACATCTTTAGAAAGCTTCCCCAGTGCTTTTTACTTGAGTACATATCTATTTCTCTATTTATTTTCTCAAGCAAATAACCCAAACCTTTCTGTTATATGTCCCCCAGCATCACTAAGGAGCTCCATGACAGTTCCCGTTACTGCCAGGATGTTTTCCAGCTACAGCTCTCAGCTTTCTTTAGTCCATTTCTGCGTTTCTTCTTTCAGTTGCCTTTTTTTTTATCATACCCTGCTGATCACATCCCAGGTTCCCATGATGATTCTGAGCGGTGCAGCTTTACAAGCAGAGATTCCTGGGCTGAAACTCAAGAACACAGTCTGCTCTGCAGCAAGGCTTTCTCCTTGCTGGCCCCTCCAGAGGATAGATGCCAGGACTAGTACTGAAACTCAGGCTTTATATTCAAGCAGCTCTGGAGCTGTGAGAAGTGCTGCTATGGTTTCCTAGAGCATAGAAAGAAACAAAAGTATATCTAGCAAATAACTTCATCTATTCATCAGCCACTGCTTTATTCCCTGGAGAAGTTATTTCATTCCTTGAGGCAGCTGAGATTTAAATATCTGAGGTCACAGGTCTTCTACCAAAACAAGTGGGAATTTCTGCTAGAGACTCACTATACCACTGTTGTTATAAATATTGGTCTTAATTGCATCACACAAGCCTTGATTGTTGCCTTAAGAGCCCTAATCAAAGATCTGCGTGTAGGAAGGAGCTGAACAAGGAAGAAAAAGCACCATGTCTTTAGATCAACAAGGAGTAGCTGATGAGTTATCTCAGCATAAAGACACAGACAACAAATTTAAAATTGCTTTCTGGAAGGTATGCATAAAAAGCTTTCTATGCAGCTAGTAAAAAATTGGAGGTATAGATAGATTGAGACAAGGCAGGTTTTAAGGAATGATTTAAAACTGATAATAGAATTGCTTCACAAATGCTTAGAGTGAGTTTTTCAGCAGGGGATGTAAAGAATAGAAATGTTGATAGGAAAAAAAAAAGGTGATCGATGGAGTGCAAAGTTGAGGGCTGGTATCTCGTTGGAATCACAAGTCTAACAGGAATAGTGTAAATTACTTTTTTTCAAGCCTATCACCTTAGAAAAGAGTCTGAAAGCTTGCTTTGGGTATGCAAAGGATCATGCCACACATCGTGGAGGGAAGGATGCAATCAAAGCAAGGTGCCAAAGCCAACAGCTTGAATAGCAATGTCTGCATGGATTGAGATCCCAGGCAGGTGGGGTAGTTGATTAGTATCAAGGTGAAGAGGCAGCCACACTTCATGTGTATTTATTTTTACCTCTCAGTGATGATATAGTAGTCAGATACCAGCAAAATTTGTCAAAGTCTAACATAGGCGTGACAACTTGATGAATAGTAAATGTGTGAATTTTCTAAATCCCAAGTTATTGCCTTATTTAAAAATATGTGTTTCTTCAGAGGGCACTGGCATGCTTGTGAGTCTAGCTAGTTTGGCAGGATTCAAGTTCAAAGCTCTTGATTTTCACAGATTCTGTGTATGACGAGTTTTTGTGATGGCTGTGTGGTGTGAGGTCAAAAAGAAGACCATCTAAGCCGCAAAGCACAGGGCACTACATGAACCAGGATAATGAGCTTATAGAGAAATTGTATTATGTGGGATTCCATTTAGCAGGGGTGAAAATAGGCTCAATCGACTGTGTCATCGAAATATGGACTTTTCTGAGGCAGCACAAACCGTGATGCATTAGGAAGAAATGGAATATTGAGTAAACACTGAAGCAACAGCTTAGTAATCTTTAGGGTTTGAGAACTGCTAAAGCGGCTCTTTTTTCTCAGCTAACTCAATAGGCAAACTATGGAAAGCAGTGAAACTACTGGATTATAAATTAATAAAATTAATAGAGAGACCATTGAGGTCAACTTCTGCATTGCAACCACAGAACTCAAGAAGATTTAGAGAACCCAGTCAAACTTTTAAGTGAGAGCTCCAGGCCTCTTGCTCACCTTTGCTCACCAGCCATCCAAAAAGCTGACTGAATAAGGTTTAATTCCTACAGTGAGAAAAAAAAACCCACACCCATATTTAAAGGCTGTGTAGAGGCACAGAGGAGCAAAAGGAGGATTTAGATTGCACAGAACATCTTCATTTTGGCACAAGATATAACTGCATATGTAACTTCAGAAGAGTTAGTGCTGACATGGTTTTTCCAAATGGGCATTTTTAAAATTAAAAACAAGCTAAAAAAAATCCCAACACTTGATAAGCAGAACTATTTACAGGTAGCAGGTGATTGCTATCTTTTATTTATGTGTTCAAGATGGGATGATTTGAAAGAAGTCATATTCTATTATTCAGAGAGGTATGACTAAAATGAGAGCAGAACTTAGTAATACGTGGAAGGAGTTGCTTTCCCACAGGCACAACAAGAAACATATTCAGTGATTCAGAAATTACGCAGAATTTTTCTTTATTATTTAACTTGCTTCCAGGATTAAAACCCATAAACTTCTTGGTTGTAATAAATAGTCTGCTCCACCCATCACAACTGTTAGGGGAAAAACTGGCCTTACACATTTTCAGAACTTTTTAGCAGTTTTTAGGTTTCAAGGTTTGAGTTATAACTTTTCTTTTTTCCCTTGTGAATGTGCTCCATTACTACACTTTGTAATTTTGGGTTAAAAGCGGTCCCAATAATTTTTTTTTTTTAATGAAAGGTAATTCTCTCAATGCTGTTTCCAAACTAGCTCTGAACAATGTGCTGTGCACTTGAAAGAAACTTCAGCTTCTTGTACAGAGAGAATTTCTCTGCTTTGTGATCTAAGATATATTGCAATTTGTTGTTTTTGTTTTTTGTTTTTTTTGTTTTCGTTTTTGTTTTTGTTTTATTTAAGGAATTGCTTTAACAAGCAATTAGTGGTTATTTAATTTTGCCACCATTGAAACCTATTATGGTATCTACACTGATTTTCTAATTCACTTCCTGTTTACCTCCAGAGTTCTAGCTTCTAAATTATTGGACCACAAATCATTTAAATCCCAGGGTCTAGCATGTAGGAAGCCAGATAATTTCCTTTGCTAGAAAACTCAGGAATAGGACAAATGAGAGGTGTATTCAAAAGCAAATAAGAAGGAAAAAAAAAAGAAAATTATTTTAAAAGTTAAAAGAATAAAAAGACCCATTGGCATAACTAGTCTGGCTTTCTATTAGCTACGTTTTAGGCTGATGTCACCCTTTGGGCTGAGGAAAAGAAGAGCGATTTGACTGAGGAATGAGAGATCCTCATGTACATCTAAATCCTGCCTCTGGCACTGTTTGGTCAATGGGATTCTGCAGGGGCCCAGGGTGGTTGGGCAATGGTGAATATGAAAGGGCATCATAAAAAAACCCGTGGGGTTAAGCAGCACTGGTCCCAAAAGTCTCAGTGAGGACTTTTGACCATGCAAAGGACATCTGTTCTGCTGGAGTTCATATTTTATGAAAGAAACGTGGCCCTACTGCACTCTGTGAAGGGCTCTCACATCATTTCAGGAGGGCCAGGATTTGAGATGGGTGCTTCAACCCAGTGTCACAACCTGTAGGTGCCTCTCTCTGTGAGCACCACTGTGTTCTCTGCGGTGGTTATGTGGGGCAGGGGATGGGGCTGTCACATCTCTGCTTTGCTGTACAGAACAATAACCAGCGGTAGATGTAGTTGTAAGATAGGAAGCAACTCTTTTAATATTCCCCTGTAGAAAAGGGAAGGTTTTATGAGAGGTGGGAATAGGACATAGGCCTCATGATTCACCAACCAGACTAGCTGAGGCAAGATATTTTATTTAAAAGGCCAAGTCATTTACTCCTCACTCTGAAAAAGGAAAGCTGTGCATTCTAGGTGAACAATAATTAAATCCTTTTCTTTCTGGGATGGTTGCTTCTTGGGGAATTGCTCCTATGAAGAAAATAGGTCCTGTGCCACTACTACTGCCCAGCTCAGCCTCATCTTGCCTGGTTCCAAACTGCTTTGGCAATAAACAGGGACAGATCTCAACTTGCCTCAACTTCTGTGGGAGCTCAGGCTTCATATGGGATGCTCTCAACACCTCTCTCTCAGATCCTATTGCATTTTTACTGCCATCCTTCAGTCTCCATGGCAACCCTCACTGCAGCACACCCTCTAAGCATTGCATATGTGCAGCACCACAGCTTTTTATTCAGTTTTTTGGGGTTTCTTTTCTCTGGTGAATTTTTGTTGTGTTTTTCTACGTAAATAGTTACTTTAATAGAGACAATGAGCCTGCTGTGCTGCCAGATGAACTCTTGGGTAGTCCTTTCTGGCTACGAATCATGCCCTAATAATCAAGCAACTTTTTCCCTCACTGTTTCCCGAGGTTAGGTTATAAATGCATGTTGGTAGTGCTGATGGTGCCGCACTGGTGTTTGCACTGCTAAATCTACATAAAACCCAAGGACAATTAGGATGCATGCAGTCATGCATGAGTGTTTCTGGAGCCATTGTACAATATTTATGCTCCTTTCTGCTTCATCTGTTCTGAATTCCACGTCTCTTTCAGCTGTTGAGAGCCCTGTGCAGAGGGTAAGGCTGTTACTGTGCAGTTTATTCAGGCCAGCATGAATTTTGCAATATTGTTACTGACTTCAAATCTTCATGAACGGCGTCTACATGAGTGCAGTTCTCCAGTACCCGTCATGCACTGTTGAGGATTAAAAGAATATCATAGGGCAGCCTGAAGCAACCAACATCTGCTCTTGGACATCTCATATTAGCAGTGACATTCCCCACAGGAAATCACTTCTGTTCTGCTGGTGGGATTTGATCTCTCTGGTTCCTAAAAAGTGCTTTTGTGAGAGCAGAGAGGGAAAAGAACCAGGGGAAAAAAACCAAACCAAACCAAACCAACAAAACAACAAACAAGTAGAAGGAAAATAAGAAAAATGATGATAATAAAATAAAAAGAAATTAAAAAGAAAAAAAAGAAAATAAAATTTAAAAAAAGCCCATAAAATAAATGGGAAGGTTTGGGAAGGGAAAGGAAGAGAAGGTTTGGGAAGGTTTGGAAAGGTTTTAGAAGGGAAGGTTAGGGAAGGTTTGGGAGCATTTGGGAAGGGAAAGGAAGCGAAAGGGAAGGTTTGGGAAAGGGAAGGGAAGGGAGGGGAAGGGAAAAAGAAAAAAAAAAGAAAAAAAAAGAAAAAAAGAAGAAAAAGAGAAAAAAAAAAGAAAAAAGAAAAGAAAAAAGGCCTTGGAAAGCAAATAAAAAGTTACACTGAAGTTACCACACTGCTTTCAATGTCACATTTAAAGGAACTCAATCAAAGTGTGAAGACCAAGCACTTAACCCAGCCTGACCTTCTTGAAACCAGTCCATCTCTCATCTGCTCTAATCTCTTCATCCTGTCTGAGTGTTTAGAATATTGTTTCCTGGAACACATAAATAGGATGGGTCCACAAGTGGACAGTGACATTCAACAACTTAAAAGAGCTGGATATTTCCCAGCTCACTTTGCTCATGGTGTCAGGCAGAACATTTAGTCTGCCTCGTGTATGACTGGATGTGGCACTTGGTGCTGTGGTTCAGTTCACATGGTGGTGCTTGGTCAGAGGTTGAACTTGATGATCTTAAAGGTATTTTCCAACCATCGTGACTCTATGATTCTATGTAGAGTTCTACAGGAAAAACTAGTTTTGAGTGTTTTACATCACGAAGACCATGTGAGCATTCAGTTCATGGAGTCATCAATAAAACAACTTGGAAATAGTTTTTCATTACTGGCATTATAATTTACTAAAATTTTAAAATCTTTTAGGTTGTTTTGAGGGTTTTTTGGTGAAATTTCCCAAGAGAGATGAATCCTTTCCAATTAATTTAAAGTGAATGGTGAAAGCAGCACAAGTCTTATCACGAGAGTGCTTCTGTGGAGAAAGGAAGCTGGAAATCTGAAAGCTCTGCAGCTAAAGGAAGGCTGGAACAAATGTCTTCTGCTCCTGGATTCATAATCCAGTCCCTCAATTATAACTGACATATGCTTATGTTAAAACAAAAATAAAAACAAAAACAAAACAACTGCCTCAGTTTTGTCCAAAAGGGTGTCTTAGAAGCTTATATGTGACAGGAGATTTTACTGAAATGGCTTCCCACCTGATCCTGAGACTTGGGGTTACAGAAAAAAACTCATTCTTACATGAAGGAACCTAATTCTCCAGAGGTACAGGAAAAGGAACATAGATAATTTGCCATTTTCTAAATAAGTAAAAAAAAAAAAAAATAGTGTAGGGAAATGGCTTTGCTTTAATGGATAACATGAAATGAAACAGTACCTTTAAAAGAAAGATGAAAAATAATAGAATGTTCCTTCATTGATCAGGAAGACATGATGCTTTGCAGAAGTTCAGGAATTTTCTGGAATTCAGTGCACTTTTTGTAAGAAACGAAGCAACATGTTCTCTTGGAAAAGAAAATCTACTGTTTTAACTTCTTGATTCTGCCTTTAATGATAAAAGATCTGTGTACAAATTAAATATTAGTGAAAATGGTGTAGGAAAAATAAAGCCGTAGATACAGAAGAATAAAGTCAGAAGACAGATAAAGCAGAATTTAAATACCTAACAGTTTTTCCTTTTGTTTGTTTTCCTGAAAAGTCATTGTGTCATTTTCCTGAAAAGTCAGGTAACATAAACATTCACTGCTATTTCCCCTGACTGTCCACACAAAATATATTTTATTTTGTAACTGGAATTTCTTCTGCACTGAGCCAAACAGTTTTTTAATGAAATGAAAGCTGAGTGCAGTTCTCAGGTAGAGCACTCGGGAGCTCTGCTGCACTGACAAAAAAATTACATTACTGTCCTAAAAGGTATTGCATCCTCAGATTGGCAGATTGCGGCACAGATCTCACATTATTCCTTGCATTTGATTGGAAAAAGAACTAGAACTCAGTTTTAGCGAAAGCAGCCGAGGGCAGAAGTCAAATGAGAAACAGGCAATGTGGTGAATGGTATGTGGAGGCTGATTCACCTGCCTGAGCACAGGGAACCAGCTCAGGGTAAGCTGGAGACATTTCAAGATGCTCCTGACTCTATTGATTAGATCTCTACAGGATAAAAACGGGGAGCTTAGGCAGTGCCTAAGCAGTCATTGCCTGCAGACATTGCCATGCAGGTATTTCACTTTCAGCATTAATTGGGAGCTGAATTCCACCTGGGCACTCTCCCCTGCAGAGCAATAAAAACCTCAACCACGCGACCACAAATCTCTCTGCACCTCTTAGGGGAGGCTCTGGAGAGTCCCTGGGCAGGGATAAGCCTTTACCTCAGCTCGGTTTTGTCATAAACATTTTGAACAGCTACAAGTTGTAATTGTTTTCCCCTTGTCTCCCCATATTTAAATCCTCACAATGAGAAAATCTGTTTCTCTTTCGGTCCTTCAGAGATTTCCTATGTACAGTTATTATTTTGGCATGAGTAGGTTACATCTGCAAACACAAAATGAGCACCTAAAGCTGTGGAAGGAGATTTGTGATCTTTAACTTTGTTCTTATAATGAAAACAACTTTTCTCACACATGAATAACCTTTGTATGAGCAGGAGACAGAGATTTGTCTGCAAACTAAGGGTCAACAAATTCATTATCACCTTGTGCTTTATATCAAGTTAATGCCATGCCCTGCTTTCACCAACACTAAATATTTTCTAAGAAAACAAGAAAATAAAGAATAGAAATGGAAATAAATGCTTTCAAATTGAACCTTAGAAATCAAGGCACTGCTCAATGCACACACAATTTTTCCCAAGGAGAAAGACGAACAGAAATGAACTGCAAATGCTGTGTTTTATTCATGTTGCTGATTCATGAGTCTTAATCCATGGATTTATCTAGATCCATACAGAAAGCCAAAAAAAAAACCCAAAAAAGATGGAAAAGAGTGGTGAAAAAATGTCAGTGACCTCATTTAAGTAGCCTCCCTGGTACTGAATGAGTTACTACAACCTTTAAGCCTTCCTCTCTGATCATAGAACATAGAAAGCCTTTTTAGGTGCACGATTCAAAGAACATACAGTAATTTTTGCTTTGAACTGCCCTGTAAAAGAGCCTGTATCACTAGGCAGAAGTGCAACGAGTTGCTGTCCAAACATGGCTCTCTGAGTTGGGTGCCACTGGACAGTACAAAGATGCCCCAGTGACAGCATGAAGCAAAGCTTCCACGCTGACAAATGGCACAAACTGTTCCCGAGATGAGTGGTTGAAGTATTAAATTATAACACTGTTGGATATCTGCCCTGTGTGGCACCATGTATTTATTCTTTTGTTTCAAGTCAGATAGTGTAGTTACTGCAGATGAGTGAGAAGCCTTTGCGTTTAAGTGCCAGAGGCTAAAGAGATTTTGCTGCAGGATAAAATACAGAAATTATTTAAGAACTGAAAAGTATTGTAAATTTAATAACAATCATGAATAAATTAAGCCAGCCTAATTAAAAAATGATAAAATGATAGGTTCTGTAAGAAAAGCCTGATTGTGGAAAGTGTTCTGTTCATATGGAAATGTTTAACTTCTCCAATCCCAGTGCCTGCCTTAGAGGTGACATCTGTATCTTTTTTTGTTGTTGTTGTGCTAACATGCTGCCTTTGTTTCTGCATCTTCTTCTCTCATTTAATGCCACAGTTACCCAGTTCAGTTTGAATTATGTACATGTTATACCCCACTGCTTCACTTTTCTCCTCATGGCAGTCAACCGAGACAAATACAGGGAAATTGTCTTAGCAGCCAGGGACTGTGCTAGGAAAGCTAGAGCCCTCGCAGAAATAAATCTGGCCAGGGACATCAAGAGCAACATGGAAAGTTGGGGTTGTTCAGCATGAAAAAGAGAAGGCTCCAGGTAGACCTTCTAGCACTTTAAAGGGACTCCAAGAGAGCTGGAGAGGGACTTCTGACAAGGGCCTGGAGTGACAGTAGAAGGGGAAATGGCTTCAAAATGAAAGACGTTAAATTTAAAAAATATATTTGGAAGCAATTCTTTACTGTGAGGCCAGCGGACCGGGCTGACCAAAGAAGACATGGATATCCCATCCCTTGAAGTGTTCAAGGCCAGGCTGGATAGAACTTGGAGCAACCTGGTCTAGTGGAAGGTGTCCTTTCCCATGGCAGGGGGATTGAAAGGTTGAGGTTCTTCCAAGCCGAACCATTCTAGGATTCTATGAACTGCAATCACAAACAAGAAGTAGCAAACAAGCCCCCTAGGACTGTCTTCTGCTTCCTGGGATACTTCTTCCTGAATGGCCACAGATGTTTCTAAAGGAATTTATTCCTGTTGTCCCATGAAACTGTTCCTCTGTTAATCCTGGTTATCTGCTCCAAACTGTTTCTGACTTCATTTCTTCTAGATACTCTTTGTCTTGCTGCTACACAGAGCTCCATTCTGTGCTGGGTTCATTACACAGGATCCTTTACTGCTCAGGCAAGAAGTGTAAAATGATGTATTGCTGATCACACAGCATAATAAAGTCCAGTTGTTTGGTAGCTGAAATCCAGAGTGAATTGTGGTTCTTTCTATAAAAGTGGATGTGACTTCTCCTAAAATTGCGTCTTGCATTATTCTACAATTTATTTGCCTTCTATCATGCATTTCTCGTGTATCTTCCATTTACTTACATCCTGCCATCACACTTATTACACATTTTTTGCCCAGTTATTAAAGCTCTCATCCCTGAAAGCGCCCACAGACCATCTGTGATTTAGATGAATTTGGTGCTCCTTTCATAATTCCAGTGTGCACCCAGCAGTAGCTAGACCAGAACCTTCCTGTTTTCTTGTACATGGCCCAATGTTACAAGCAGAATCTTCTTGGGTTTACATTCAAATACATTTTACTTATCCATAATTGCAACTTAGAGGTTCATTTCAGACTCAAGTTAACCACGAACAGTATTTAAAAAGGCAGAGCAGAAATGTGATGTTTTGACATGTTAAGTAAAATAACAGGATCATGGAATCATCAACTGGTCTGGGTTGGAATGGACCTCAAAGATCATCCAGCTCCAACTCACTGCCACGAACAGGGGCACCCTAAACCTGATCAGGTTGCCAGAGCCTCATCCAACACTTGAACTCTTCCAGAGATGGAGCATCCACAACTTCTATGGGTAACCTCTTGCATGTTACTTCTGGCAGTCAGGATTTTAAAATTCCAGCACAGAAGTGGTCGAACAAGTTAAAAACTTACTGGCTTTTTTGCATGCTCGTATGCTACATGTGTTTTTGTCTCATTCTAAAATTTCCAGCAACTTCCAGCATGAAGAAATACATATTCACATACACACACACACATATATTTATCTCTCTATATATGTCACATATATCACACTCTTCTACAAATCGACTGTGACAAAGAAGATAATGAATTGAGGGAATGGTCTTTCAGCTGTCTCAAGGACAGGAGACTGCCTTCAACGTTAAGTCCCTGCTTCATGCAGAGGAGTCTGGGCCCTCCCTGGCACAGTCCTGATTTCCCCCGTGGTTCTCATTTGTACCAGCTCTCCACAAGATGAACACACACAAGGGGACAAAACTGTTCAAAACACTGGTAAGAATTACATTTACCATAACATAATGTCCTCCATGGTAATTGCAGCTCTGTTTTTCAGGAAGAAGCTGGATACACCTGCTGACAAAAGTGTGCATAGACTCATAAATGTTTATACCACTAATGAATAATTCTCTCATATGATACCTACTGCTTCAAATTAAAAGTAAACATTTTATGTTAAAGAACTGAATATTCTTAAGCTGATCTTTTCTTATATACCAAATATTCTACTCCTTTAGGCTGGTTTGAACATTATTACTTGCTATTAACTTCATAGCTGGCATTTTTAAAAGTCTTATGTTAACATATGTGCTGCTAAATAACTCTTTGTATACACAGAATATATAGTTATTTAAGTAATGTGATCTAAAAAACTTAGTGCAGGCACTGACTTCTCCATCTGTAGTTCTTTCTACCTTTACTGGAAAAAAAAAACAACAGGAGGTATAATGTTTTAACTCTTTAACCCCTTTTAAATATGTATTTAATCCCATAATAATACGTTTTTACTGGAAAAAAATAAAATTATTAATATTTTGCTACAATAGCTCCCTAATGTCATATTCCCTAACAAAATCCTTAGTCCATCATTTCTCTGAAAAAAACCACAGTGTTCCAATCTGTAAGTGTACTACCCAACTGGGACATGGTTTCTTGGCTGGATTTCTTCCTTTTTTTTCTTTTATTTCTTACAGGCAGAGAGATGGAAGGCTGACAAGGATCCAACTATAAATCATTCATTTTCAAAATGATGTTTTGACCAACCTCTGGAACTGTGGAAATGATTATTGCAGCCTTTGGATGTGGTCTAAATTATGCCACAGGCTATGGTTCCCTAAGTGACCATATAACACCTGCAAACTGCACACTCCTGCCATTATTTTCTTATTACTCTGATAATCCCGTCTTTTCCAGTATTCCCAGCCGGAAGGTGATAGCCTGAAGGGCAGAAAGGGCAGGAGATAAGACTAGAATTTTAGACTTTGATTTTACAGGAATTAGGTTCTGTGTTTTCCCCAGTCCGGTTAATAAAGCCACAGAAATTCAGAGTAATTTCTAACATATCCACAACAAGGTGTTTCCCCTGTTGTTTTGTGTTTTTTTTTTCTTTTTCCTTCTTTTCCCAAGTCCTTTCAGTAGATATTTTTCTAGCACAGTTAGAATAACATGTGAGTGAGATTCCTTCTCCTTCTCTTGGCATAAAGTCCTCTGGGACAGGATTGCCTTAATCAACAGCAGTCAGGCAGAGGTGCCGGAAGGAAAGCAGTGACTTTTGTTGTTACTGACCTTTGGAAAACTGTGCCTCTGGAAAGGCAATATCAAATCTGATAGCAGCAAAAATTAGGATACACGAGCAGCTATAAAAAAACTTAGTGAGCTGGATCTTATCACATCCATGCAGGAGAGATAAGCACAGTCTGAGCGCCTGAGGTAGCTCAGACAGCAAGATACAAGCTTAAAGAATACGGGACACTGATTCCCAGCGATGACTCAGCCTAGTCCACATGGACCCTCTGGTCATGATGATTTGGTTTGTTTTCTGCTTTTTTCAATAGATACTGTTGGAGGTGGGTTTTGTGATTATAAAGAGCATAATTATGGTGGTTGAACAGCCTGTGTTATAAGGGATCTTAAGGTGTGATGTTATCGCCGAACTGCAGCTTCAACTGTCATCATGGTGCAAGTGGTTGCCATGGACATCGTGCTCAAGAGCTGGTGTCAGCTGTCATTGGACAGTTCGTGGAGCCACAGCAGCTCGACCAATCACTGTTTTCTTTGTTGCTGTGTAGCCCCTTCATACATATGTATATGTTCCTTATGTTTATGTATTCTCCCATACCCTATCCTAGTTGGAGGATTAGCATGCTCCTCCTATTCTCCTCACAGATTCTTGAACCTTCCTCCCCAATCCCTATAAGAATCCTCCATTTTAACAAAGTTTGAATTCAGCTTGTCGACCCCGCGCTGAGCTGGCTGGTTGCCTTTTCTAACCAACTCCAACAAGATACTAACCCCCATTTTTCCAGGTAGTCACACTGGCTGTGCTGGAATGCCTGCATGAGTCTGTTAAAGATATGTGAACCAGCTTTATTTGTCAAACAAAAGCCAGGTTTTGACAGGTCTGGAGGCACCAGCTGCCTCCTCAGGCAGAACTGCACTGCTCCTCCCAATTCCCCCTAACAAGGCTTAGCATGATTTTAGTTTCCAGCTGCTGGATTTTGTGATACATGTGTGGGAATGTTTAGTGAAAGAGGTCTTTCCCTACATAGATACTTACTGATAATTGTAAATTGTCTACCTGTCTTTTCCTGGAGAAGATTGACCAGACTGAGCTTGTGTGATCTCTGTCCACAGGGCATATGTTTAAGAATATAGGAAAGCTTTAAAAAAAGTCTCAGAAATGTTTCCGGTCTTTGAAAGATTAGACACCAGAACTAGGTGTGGTATTCCAGTAACAGCCCACTGATGTTTTCCGCAAACATGTCCTGCTTCCTTCCACGCTCCTGTGGATTACCATTCAAACCTTGTCCTCACATCACACAGAGCATTCCCATTCAGGTAAGATGCTCACACTGAGTCAAAAAAAAAAAAAAAAAAAAGAAAGTGTATTGAACAATGATCTTAAGCTGAAGGGGGGTCCATGTATCCACAACTGTTGTCATACATTTTTCCTAGTCCACAGAAATTTTACTTTACATTTCCAAAGGCAGAGCATCCCCAGAATATTTCTGCCATTGTTTGTCTGAGATGAGTCAACTCAGTCTAAGGTGATGATCTGTTTAGAGCCTGATTTGGGCAAAGCAGTAGTTGGGCAATTTGAGTGCTGAGTGTGGAGAGGATGCCCAGAAGCCACTGAGCAGGGGCTGGGGATGAAGGCCAGGGCTTGTGGGCCAGCTGATGTGTCTCTGGTGGCTGAGACATCTAGAGCAGAGCTAGATGTAAATATAACCGCTCCAAACAGGCATCAGGCAAACAATGTCTCCTCTGCACCCACCTCTGTGTGAAAGCCATGACGTTTGTCTAGAAGCTTTCCCGTCCACCCAGTCACAGCACTTCAAAGCAAATCAGGTTGACCAAAGGAAGACCCTCTATAGGCCTGCTCTGTGCCACAGGACTTCCAGGGTCTGCAGCTGAGCTCTTGAGGTGACAGGTAAACCTCCACCTGTGAGCTCAAGGTAGAGCTGCACCTCACATCTGCACAGCCCACAGCATCACTAAGGCAATGTCTTCTGTCTAGAGCAAAGCCGTTCCTTCTTCAAGGAAACTTGGCCTTAGAAATAAAGAGAAAAGACAAGTCAGGGTCTCTGCCCACTGTCCATGTTTATTGCCTATTGCAGATGCACACACCCAACTTTAGCCTCCAGAAGACCAGGCTCAACCTAAGCCAAGCTTAGTGCCATCTCAAGGCCCCTTTCCAATCCATAATGCCCTTGTGATTCTGCCGGTCAGGGAAATCTTTGCTATGGGATGGTTGCAGCTCCTTGCTCACTGGTACAACTGGGCTGGGCTGGATGGGGGACTGGGAAAATGCCCAAGGCACTTTGGAAGGCAAAGCAAGAGATGGAAGCCCCGCAGGGCCAGGCACAATTCTGCCAGTGGGGCTGCCTCAGGGGGGCTCAGGGCTCTCTGTGGTGGCTTTGTGCATTTGGCTAAGAGAGCCCTGGAATCTCCTGAGGAGGAATTGGCCCTGAGTGTGGAGAGGATGCCCAGAAGCCACTGAGCAGGCAGTGGGGATGAAGGCCAGTGAGTTCACATGCAGAGGGGAAGGCTGGGATGAGTGGGGGAAGGGGAAGATGTCCAGGGAGGTTTGTAGCCCTGAGCCAAAGCTGAGTCCCTCCCAGCAGGGCCAAGTTGTGCCCCTGGGGCTGGTCACAGAGGTGCTCAGGGCTCTCTGCGTTGGCAAGTGCGCCCAGAGAGTCTTTGGGGATGGGCCGGGTGCCCCTGGCTCCATGGGACACTGTGGCGTGGCAGGGGTGGGACCTCAGGAGACTCTGCTGGGCTGTTTCTTGCCTTTTCCTGGGGCACAGCCCAGTCGGGAACCCACAAGGAGGGTCCTGGCTGGGGTAGGATGGGCCCTGTGCTGTCTGCAACCAGGGACTGCCTTCCCTTCAAGCTTTGATCCCCATGCTCCCTGCAACCCTGAGCCACTGAGGAAACTTGTCTCCCATCTCCTGCAGGCCATGGATTCAGCAACTCTGGTCCTCCTGGCTGTGCTGGCCGTCCTGCCCGAGCCAATCCAGGATCCCCAGAGTGATGTGGTCACCGCGCAGCAGATGACCGAGCGTGCGATTTTCCTGGAGGAGAAGATGAGTGAGTTGTGGGAGGAAATCAAGTGGAGGAGGGCCCTGGCAGAAGTTCCACTCCTGTGGATCTTGCAGCACTGGCTCTTCTGGGTGGCTGCAGCAGCTGTGCTCTGCTGGCTGGCCTGGCAAAGGGGTCAGCAGGACAGCTGCAGAGGAGGAGGAAAGAGAGCTGAGCGGAGCAGCCGGTGCTGTTTGGCCTTTGGCAAAGCTCCACCTGTCAGTGCTGCAGAAAGTGCCTTCTGAGGGCCAGACCCTGAAGAAGCTGGTGCAGGACCTGCTGGAGGTGTGCCAGATGCTCTTCCAGAACACTTTCATACCAGAGCTGCACCCAGCCACTGGCAAGCAGGGCCCCATCAAGTCCTGGTGTGACCTGGGGCACTGCATTGTCTACCAGCTCTTCATGTGCCTGAGGCCACCCCCCAAGCACTCCTTCCACCTGCAGCTGCCCAACGACAGGATGGATGTGCCAGAGAGGCACTGCCACATCCGTGTGCTGCTGGAGTTGCCCACCCCACATCTGATGATCAGCAGTCGCCCATCCTACACACCCCGTGCACAGATTCCCACTTGGAGGTAGAGAAAATCACCGCCTGGGTGCAGCAGCTGTTGCAATCAGCCTGGGATCGTTTGCCTCAGTGGCGCGACTGGCAGCTCCAGGTGCTGGCCTCCTCCCACTCCTGCAGGCTCCTGCTGACCGGCCCCTGCCAGATGCAGCTCTGTGCTGTGCTGCTCTTGGCACTGCAGCAGGGCCCCCCGGGCACCTTCCTGGTCCTGGAATAGGCATCTGCAGCTTTTCCAGTGACCACTTTAGTCTAGGATAGAGTTAGAGTAGGATAGGTCTAGATTAAGTCTGTGGTTAAGAGTTTGCCCTTTTCCTTTTCCCAGGGTTGGTTTAGGTGGGGGTAGAGTTAGGCTTCGGATAGCCTTAGACTTGTAGGGGGTTAGATTTTAAGTTAGTGCTTTGCCAAGGGGTGGTTTAGGCTGGGGTAGACTTAGTTAGGCTAAGAGAGAGAGTCAGGATAGGGTTAAATATTCGGCACCTACTCCCAACAGGCTTCTATTTTTCTACCTTTCTGCTTCCAACTTGAAAATAAAGAGAAAGTTTGAACAGAACTTGCCCAGTGTCAAGGCCTTTTCTGTTTCTTGTCCTGCTGGGCTGTGGCTGGGGTTCCCTGAGGAGTTCTCTCTCCTTTTTCTCTTTTTGCGAACCTTGAGACTTTGGGCCTTCCTTTGGAGCACGAGCATTTCCGAATCTTGGGGGCTCCCCTCTCCTGGAGGCTGTGATGTCAAAGCAAGCTGGTCAAGCGCAAGGTGTCCCTACCCGTGGCAGGAGGTTGCAACTCCATGGGTGAGGAGGACAAGAGGAAGAAACGAGAGCAGTTCAAGAAATGGCGTGCTGTCTACGAGAAATACTAGAAAGGACTTTACTAATAACAGAGACGTTTGCAGACCATTTAGGCCTGAATCACAGTTAAAGACAAGGTTTTGTGTTGTTTGGTTGATGTTCTACTGTTCATTGTTAATGCATGCTTTTTCAAAAAGTATGTACCTCAGTTATATTTATTATATAGTATTAAGATGTTTGTCCCCTAATGATTTTCCTTTTCCCTGATTAGTTAAGAATCCCCTCTTCCCCATTGGCTAGGATTTGCCGCAGTATGGGCGGTCCTGCTACCTCCCTTCTGTCTTGTTATTGGTTCTTGATTATGTCATTCATATTGTAGAACCCCCATTGGTTCTTAAACTCTGTCAGTCTCATGCTCTTTCCAGGTTCTAGCCCCTTCAATCCTGTACTCTAAATAAGTGTCGGTCTGGGACAGTACGCTTGCCTCTGTACCCCTTCGTGTCTTCGCACCAATAAAGACCTGCTACAGCGCAAGAACCCCTTGTGTTGTCGTCGCCCTTTCCTTCTCCGGGCTGCAGCACATGGGCTTTAGGGCGCCTTCCAACACCCAGCAGTCTGTGTCTCTGTGAAGGAGAGATTTTGCCTCCTGCCCCCAGCAGGAGGCCTCCATTCAGCCCTGTCTTTTCACCTACTTCCTTCTGCCTGGTGCGGGGAGGGTACAGGACACTCTTGAGCTTTTGTTTTCTCGGGGACTGCTGGTGTCTCAGGGAGGCCCGAGCATGGCTCCACCAGTGCACCTCCTCTCTTGATACTTTTGAACCTTTCCAGCTTCTCTCTCAACTCCACCAGCAAGGCGGAGCAGCTCATCCACCTGCTCACACCTCCACAGCTGCTGCCTCTGCTGCCCTCCAGCACCAGCACCGGCTCTGCCGCTGCCTGCAGCCCGAAACCTGGGCGGCTGCGGGTCTGTGTGGCAGCTCCCACTGCCTTGCAAAGGCCTCTGCCATACGGGCGGGCACGTGTCTGTGAGGCGAGTGCTTGCCGGGCTGAGCTCCGTGCGAGAGTGTGACGAGCCCCGAGGGCAGCCCTGGAGCTGGTGGGTGTCCGCACCCTCCCTGCTGAGGGGGCGGATCCGCCGGGGACGGAGCTGCGGCGATTCCCGCTCGGAGGGAGGCGGGGACGACTCTGCCCGGCGCTTATTTCGAGGTGTCTCCGCTTTGGGAAAGCTCCCCACGCTCCCTGAGCTCGATCCCCGGCGGCAGAGCGCGGCTGCCGGGGTGGTTCGCCTCGGGGTCTTCGCTGAAAGAAACGGTGGTTGCAGCGAGTTTGAACGGCCGCCACCGGCTCTGGTGCCGCCCGCGCTGAGGGGGCAGAGCCGCCGCTGAGGCGGAGCTGCGGCGCTTTGCGACTGTGGAGACCGTCTGGGCGCCGATTTCGGGGTTGGACCGATCAGCAAAGCCCCCGAGGGTCGCTGAGCGCCATGTCCAGCTGCAGAGCGCGGCTGTCGGGGCAGTTCGCCTCAGGATTCTTGGCTGCAATGGCGGCTGCAGCGGTTTTGAACCGCCCTCCGTGCCGGCCCCGCCGGGGCGAGTCAGAGCAGCCGCTGAGGCAGCGCTGTGGCGCTTCCCGCTCGGGCATGGGGGGCGAGGACACCACCCGAACCTCCTATGATTGGGGATTGCTCCATCCTCTAATGAGTCCAGGTCTC